AGAAGCCAAACACGATTTAAAGTAATTATCAAGTGGTGCAAAATTTTATTCAAAAAGCAATTTATTATTATCTGAATTTGTCTCTAGCATGGAAACTACACATGTTCAACGCCTAACACCCGTGAGTTCGAAATCGTGATAATTTCTGTGCCAGGCTGGAGACCACTTGCTTTGGCTGTCAAAAGTGGTAAATTTTTATTATCTTGTGATCGATTTTGTTAAAAATTAAAATTTTAATAAATTTTGATAAAATTAATGAGATATATATGGTTAAAAATTTGACATGAAATATGAATCTTAAATATTTAAGTGATAACAAATTTTTTTTAAAATTGAGATTAAACTAAAGCTTAACATTTGACGAACCTAGGTATTTTTCTCTTCCATTTACCTCTCTTTTTATCCATGTTTGGTTAGAGTACAATTAATTTTAATTTCACATTTCATGAAATTCATAACTTTTCAATTACACGTTTTTATCAAAATCTTTAAAATATATATACATAATTTTTGTCTAACAGTGAATTATATTATTCCAGCCTTGTAGAATTTATTATTATTATTATTATTATTATTATTATTATTATTATTATTATTATTATTATTATTATTATTATTATTATTATTATTATTATTATTATTATTATTATTATTATTATTATTATTATTATTATTATTATTATTATTATTATTATTATTATTATTATTATTATTATTATTATTATTATTATTCAATTCAGTGGGGCAACTGTTCTTTAGTTGCTTCCAGCAATCAGAGCAAGTTGGGTTAAATGAAAAAGTGTTGGTAATATAAAGGAAAATATCTAAGAATAATTAAACCAGCTTTACGTTCAGTGGCTTTAAGTTAGGTGGTTCGAGGTAAAGACATTTCCTGAGGATCCTAAACCGTGCAGAATCCGGAATTAAATAGGCAAATGAAGATTTGATCATGTTTTACGGGGACCTAAAGAGGTCCACATTGATTCAAATGTCATTATTATTTTTGTAAATGTTATGTTCCTAAACTATCTCGTTTTAAATTATTGTGTTCCTATTTAGTTGACTAAAAATCGAAATTTTAATAGATTTTGATTAATATTAATGAAATGTGTGGTTTGAAAGTAGATAAAATTTGTTGATCTCATTAAAATGTTAAGAGTGAAAATAAATTCGAAAAAAATAATTTTAAATATTTAAGGCAAATAGGAACTAAAAAAGAAAATAAATTAGCTACTAAAACAGGGGCTGTTCTCATAAGAAAAACTGTGTGTTCAGGTTCTGTTTGTATTTTTTATTTTTATTTTTCTGAAAAATAACCCTCTCCTAGGAATTAAATAAAACAATCTTTCTAGAGTTTTTTTTCAGAAAAAAATATATTGTTTTGGAAACAATATTAAAAATTTAGCTGTAGATATTAATTAATTAATTATCATGTTTAAAGAAACTTAATAACCTCTTTAATAGTCAGGCAATGCATTATCACTAATTAATTGAGATAAAATGCTTGTAATTAATGTAACAGAAAAACTGTGCCAGAAAATGACTAGGAAAAAGGTGTCTAAATAGATATTTTCTTAAGGATAATTCAATTAATTAATTAATTAATATATGATCCTACTTAAAGTATCATTACGTTGGATGCCAAGCAAACAAAAAAGGGGGAACAATTTTGTGATAAAAATGTCTTTATATGATATTATCAAATTTCAAAGCATGTGGCATGACATTTCTTCCATGTCATGTCACAAAATCTCGTCGGAAAAATCCATCAATATTAATCAGCAAGTTAACTCAACTGGCACAATCATATTTGAAATTTTTTCCTTAGCAATGTAGTTCAATCTAGCACGACCTATTCGGTATCCTAGTTCGACTAAGGCCTCGCCAAAAATTCTACTTCTACAATTGGTTGGCATCGAGTTAGTAGACTCAACAAAAGATGCATCCAGCAAGAAAGCCAAGAACTCTTCGATTTTGCTGGATGGGTTGGGAATGCTCGACTAATTAATTAATCCGGTACAACTCATAATACCACAAAAAGGAAAGATTCAATTTTCATTTGTTTTGTAACCATGCTTACACACGTTTGAATGACATAGCCAAAAACTGATAATACAATAAAATAATCTGAAATCTCAGTCTAATCATATATTTTAATTTATTCTTGGTCTTCAAAATCTAGTCAACAATATGAACTAAAAAGCAAGTAATCGGTGAAAGCGTGTTCCTTATCAGCAGCCATTTCACCTTTGACATCATCAAAAGTCAAACCTATCCAATGTAAAAATGCAAAAAACTACTTTTTGTAGTGATTGTATAGGTCCCTTTGTATATATAAACCAGCTTCCATTTTCATTTTTCCCATTGGGTTATCAAATACTTTAGAATCAAGAAAGTCAGCGCCTGCTTAAATTTTCTTCTTCTTGTATTTGCCTATTCAAGAAATTTTCTTGTTTGTGAAGGGGTTTTGTGGGATGGAGGATTGGGGTTTTCAGGATATAGTTACAGGTTCTAGTGGTGATTTTAGCAATATTTCCAATACAGACATTGATCAGAAATCCTTTCTTGGGTTCTCGAGCCTTCAGCAATTTGATTATGAGTTCGTTTACGATTTTCCTAAAATTTTCGAAGGTGATGAACTAGAAGAGCTTTACAAGTCATTTTGTCCGACCGTGGCAAATTCTGGTCCTGCACAAACTGTTCTTCAATTTGAAGAAGAAAGTCCTCCAGGAAGTACTGTAATTCAAGAAAAGAAGGCTCAATGTTTTCCTTCAGAGACTAGTGATTCTACTACTAGGGCTACTGCTCATAAACCAAGATACAAGAGAAGGTTTGTTATATAAATTTTTACTTCCTGGATAGTTTATCTGAATCTAAGTTCAAGTAGTTTTGATTTTGATTTTGATTTTTGATTTTTGATTTTGAGATTTGATAATGAAAGATTCATAATTTATTCACAGGAAGAATGAGCATAAAAGAAGAGTTGTTCAAGTTTCTGTTGAGGGTATTTCTTCCGATGTCTGGGCTTGGCGCAAATATGGCCAAAAACCTATTAAGGGTTCTCCCTATCCAAGGTTCATCTCTCTCTCTCTCTCTCACACACACACACACAAAAATTGATACTGAATGAACATATCAAGCAGAGGCGACCATATCATGCCGTAGAACACTTTTATATGTATATACAGTGAGAGATCTCCTAGATATACCTATAGAATAAATGTTCATGGGTAGAACTTACTTGGATTCATTACATAGAGATTGAGTGAAGACTATTCATGATGTTCGGTTTTCCTCTTGACCACGAATCAACCTAATATTTGTATTATACAAAAAATTTATAGCACCTATTTTTCTTGAGACACAGAAAAGCGTGAAATTGAATATTCTTCATCATAGTGAAAACTTGTAGCAGCAAGTGGAGGTGAAACTCTCACAGATAAACTATATAAATATGTGTAAATTTTGCTTATTTTTTGTATTATAACTATGGAATCACTAGAACAAAATCTAGCTCACTTATAGGCATGCATACAAAATCCATAATTTACTCAAGAACTTTTTCTATGTGATAAACAGAAGCTACTACAGATGTAGCAGCTCAAAAGAATGTATAGCAAGAAAACAAGTTGAGCAAAGCTGTACAGATCCCGGAATGTTTAATATAACCTACACTGCAGAGCATAACCACAGCCAGCCAACTCGAAGAAATTCTTTAGCCGGTACAATCCGTCAGAAATTTCCAGCATCCAGAAGCCCAAATAGAATCAATATCAAGCTGGAAAGAACTGAAGATTCCATTTCTTGTTCAAAACTTTCTGCTCCATTTCTGTCTACAGAAACAGAAGCCCTTTTGCCTTCATCAATAGAAGAAGATTTTCTCCAGGCAAAATGCAATCAAGAGGGAAAAGAAGATGATGAGTTGATATTCAGTGATGATTTCTTCTCCTGGTTAGAAGAGTTTGATGGATTTAATTCAGATACATTGCCTATCAGCTCCCATAGCTCAGCACAACAATTTCCTTTGAGTTCTTGTAGCTAATATTAGAAGATTCTTAACCAAAATTAGCACCTCTGTATAACCTGCAAAAGGGCTGGTTAATTTTAATGATGCATGATAATGTAATTTCAGTTTCTGGATGTTTTTTTACTCCTTCATATCTTTATTAATGCATAAATGTTGGAATTCTAAGGAAGCAATACTATTTACCGATGATAAACCAAACATTAGCATTAACAAGTGAACAAACGTGAATAAGATTTTAGATTCTTTTCTTTAGTACAGTATTTAATACCAAACAAACAAGAGGTTGTACATGAACACACCATCTGTGAATAGCCTTCTTTGTTTATGCCAAGAAAAGCAACCACCGATCCCTCAAAAGATGTACCCATGACTGGCGTGGGATCTAAATGTGAACACTCTGACTAAATTCAATAAGTTCTACCTCATTTTGAATTAGGCCCACCAACAATAGCACTGTCTTAGCATATATATAGATATGGTGCAAGAATAGTGTTGAGTAACAATCATTGCAACACAACTTGGCAGGGTGAGTATGGATTGAGGAGTGGATGCACCTCTCTAGTGTAACTATATGTTGGGGTTTTGCTGCCAAAAGCCAACAATGGATGACTTTACGAGATTTTTCCAACTACGTAGTTAGAAAATAATATGGATAATGGTTGGAAAAGTGCGAAAATAATCTTAGGTAAGCTACATATGGGATAAATGATGGGCTTGGAAAAGATGGTCAAGGGGCGGAGCCAGAGGGACAATTTATTTCCCACTGGACTGGCTACATTGATTTTTTTTCCCCTCTAAAAAGTAAATGGGCTTGGGGGGCAAGGAAGCCCACCCCTGCCCCTCTCCCTACTCCCCTGGGATTAACCTTTTAGGATGGATCTTCCATTCCCACAATAACAACCTTAACCGTAACAACAACCATTGAGTTGCATGTGGTTCCCTTGTAACCTCCCTTCAATAGGAAACTCATGTCATGTAACAATAATTCAACTAATTGATTTGTTATGTCATTACTGTTTAACGTAAGATGAACACCGATACTTATTAGATCATTTGTCATACTTTTTTGAGGGCCAATATACATTCCATTGGAGCATATCGCCATGAACAATTGGCCAGAAAATTCGAGATATGCAATAAATCCATGAACTAACTAGAAAATTAAAAAGCAAGACGCTATGACATGGACTACTTTGTTTCCATCAAATGGAACATAGCAACAAGAACGACAATAAACATCAGACAATGGATAATATCAGTAAGAACAAGAGAAAACTAAGACTACGTACTACTTACTTAGTCTTTTAAAAACTGAATATTACTAACTTTTTTTGAAAATTTGGGAGATTATTGACTCCATGCATTTTTTTATTGTAACAGCTGAAAATTTTAAATTCTTAACAGTGGACTCTTTCTCGCTTATCTCAAGGTCTTAATTAATAAACCATTAACAAAAACTTAACGTTAACTTACATCACCAACGTCTCAAAATTCTCTCATATGGTATCAAAGTTTTCATATTTAATCCTTCAATACCTGGAAAATACATGTAAACCATTCAATCTGAGTTTCTGAGACGAAATTTTGCTTAATCATTGAAGAGATATTTATATAGTATTTTTCATATCTAGTAACAAGTTGGTATATTTCTAATTAACTCGAAGAACAATTTCATTTGAACAAAACTCAAACTCTGACTTAATACTTTGATATATGTATGTGGAATCTGTAGAGTGAAAATGTCCAGATTAATAATTTTCAAACAAAATGAAATTTGCGCAATTAAAATTGTTTGAGAAACTTAATAAGTCAAAAGTTTATTGTTTATCTACTAAAGGTGAGTAAACACTGCTTCCTATTATATATTCATATACTTTTACACGCACAAACGTTAATTTATATATATCGCATCTCATGTTTCATGTTGGTTTGTCGAAAAAAAGAAAAAAGTGTGATGAAAAAGGAAAAAGAAAAATATAACAAATTCACGAAAAATGATCATAAATTCAACTAATTTTAATAGAAACCTATCACAAATCCAATTTATTAACTAATTTCATGGTAAACATATATAGAAAAAAAAAATCCTACTTGTGTCAATTTTAACATGGAGCATACAATTTAACTATTATATGCTTTCTTTTGGTGATAAAACTGAAATAAGAAAAATTGTGTATCTAATTTTACTCAAAAGATAGGCAAGCGACGTCATTCAAATTTTCAAATGTGATGAAAATTGGGTGTGTGTGTGAAGTTTTGGCATAAAAAATTATAATGCAACTATGAGGCTTAAAAACTTAGAAGTCTTCCATATGGTTATGCCCATAAAGAGTATTCTCTCTATCATTTTCCAAACAACCTTAACTGCACTCAATTGGTTTGTACCTCAAGAAAATCCTAAACCTAGGGTAGTTGTCTAACAATTTTTTGTACTATGTACTTTTTTTACCACATTTGGGACAATTTTATATTCTACTCATCCTTTCTCTCTCTACATATTTATATAGTTTGTAAATTGTAATAACATTATACTTTGAACCTTAAGGGAGTTGAACAGATCAAAGTAGGTGAATTGTGGTTGGCTTAATTTCTCAAGGGTACAAGTTAATTAAGGCCTCATTCCCTAATTTCAAAAGGAAGTTCTCCCTTTATCCATTTGTCCATCAAGTCTATAAATTGTTTGCCCACCTAACTCTCTCCATAAATCTTTCATCATCAATCTAAAATCCAACAAAGATTTTTCCTCTCCAAATCTAAATAGAATCTTTGTCAACCTTATGCATGGAAGGCGAAAATTTCCCTTATCTTTTCGAGCCTTCTTTTCCTTTGGCCTCGTTGAATTCGCCATCCCTTTTAGACCAACCCATGAACAACTTGCAGTATGCCTCAGATTTTGATTTGTCCAACATGCTGTCTAGTTCCATGGTTAATGGGGGCCAAAACCCGGTTTTTCCAAGTTTATCGACTACGTCCAGGAACACAAATGAAGGGGAGAATGTAAACAAAAATAAAGCGAAATCTGGAAGAAAGAAGAAACATATTCCTCCAAGAGTTGCTTTTCATACCAGAAGTTCAGAGGACATTCTTGATGATGGATATAAATGGCGAAAATACGGGCAGAAAGCTGTGAAGAATAGTTCTCATCCCAGGTAAAAGTTCATCTTCAGAGCAACTTTTATCTTTATTATTATTAGCATTTTAGAAAAATTCATCAACAAAAGAAAAACTAAAAAAGGAAAAAAAAAAATTAGTTCATCTATAATATTTGCAAACATGGTCGAACAACAAAAATAATTTGCGCACTCAATCTTATATAAAGCTTAGATATTTATTGTAAATTTGTATAAAGAAAGATTAACAGACATAAACATTTTGAAAGATTCTAGTTCAACTTTATAATCCTAAGACTATTTATGAATTCAGGATATAGGATTGTTGTTAAAATGGGATATATTAACCTAGTCGAGTGAAAATAATTAAAAGTGAAAACATCTTTTTTCAACTAGGGTAAAAGAAATAGGTTCTTTCTCGACCAAGGCGGAGAAAAATTGTAACAAAAAATATTATTATTTGGATTTTTCTTTTCATGTTCCAGACTTTATATTCGACCTTAGTTGAAAGCGTAGAAAGTTCTTGTGTCAATTAATCTTTGAAGGATAGAAATTATTTTTAAGTAGCATCCATAGAAAATGGATTTAAAATTGGAAGTCTCTTAAGATTAATTTTACTGCATTTTGAGTCGATTTTTCTTGAGAATTTTTCAAAAAATTCCCCTTGAATCTTGAAACACATATGAAGGGACTACTATTATGGAAGAAAAGCAACATATAAATTTTCAATTTTTTCAATAAATTGATTTACTTTATATGTAATCTCAATAAAATAGTTTCTAATAAATAAAGGTAGGGATATTTTAAGTTTAATTTATTTTATTATTATTATTATTATTATTTTATTTATTTATTATTTTTTTGTGTGAAATCCCTAGTAGTCGTAAAAAGATGATATTAGTATGGTATGGGAAAACATAGGTTACAAGTATTTACATACATGTCAACTTATAAAAGGAAAATATTTTTCATTATGCTCAAAAAATGTATAGAAATAAAAAAGAAACATTTTTTTCAAAAAAATTAACATTTTGGCTTGAAACAAAAAGAAATAAAAATATGGGTAATATTAATTGTAAGAACTTCAAAAAAAGACACCACAATTAGTACATTCCTAATTATTAATTAAGAACCACTTCATGATCTATTTCGATTGAATTTGGCACTCAGAAAAATAGGAGAATCAAATATTTTTTATTACTTTGCTACCACAATTAATTATCTTAATTGATATTAAAAGATATACTAATAAACTTTATTTTATCGTGTCACTAAGGAGCTACTATCGTTGCACGCACCATACGTGCAATGTCAAGAAACAGATTCAGAGACTGGCGAAAGATACTGGCATTGTTGTGACAACATATGAAGGCATTCACAATCATCCTTGCGAGAAACTAATGGAGACCTTGATTCCACTGGTGAAGCAACTTCAATTTCTCTCAAAATTTTCGAACCTGCCAAGTTGTTAAGTTGAAGCACAAATTGATCTTTACATGCAAAACTATAGAAGATCTCGTTTAAGATAGAATAAAAATTCTATCGAAATTAGTAGCATGATTTTACATGAACTTGAATCTAACAAATATGTCAATGCTGTATAGAAGTGTAAAGTAAAAGGTCAGGGATGTTATGTTTGTATTATATGAACAAGAAATATTAAGGGTCCATTTGGTTTGTTTTTTAATTTTCTATTTTACAGGTCTATTTTAAAATTGTTAAAAACATGTTTTCTTCGTCGTCTTGAAAAATTTATTTCTTAAAATAGAAAGCTAAAAAACATATTTGGTTTGAAATTTTGAAAAATTAATTTTTATGATATTTTATTCCGTAAAATTTGATTATTTAGTAAAAAATGAACAATTTCATGTTATAATATTATCAAGTAATATATGCATTTTAAAATTGGTGAAGCTTATAGTGCTTTTTTCTCGCTATAAAAGTAAAATAAACAATAAATAATAAATAAGTTCAAAATATATGAAATAAAAAAATGAAATTTTCCGACGTAGACTGAGAATTTTTTGATGTGTATTCATTTAAATATATATTTTTTTAACTTTTTATGTAAGTACCTATTAAGAGCTTGAAATATATTTTTTTATATAATTTTTTAGAATTTAGAATTTTAGATATTATTTTTTCAATTTTTTAAAATTTTTTTATCAATTTTTTGAATTTATTTTTCATGAATTTTATTTTTTCTAATTTTAAAATTTTATTTGCTAGAGTTTGATATTTTTATTTTTTTTTTAAAATTTGATTTTTAAAATTTATTCAAAGAAAATTTTATTTAAATACTTGTTTTCTATGTTTTGATTGTATGAAGAATTTTTACCGAAAACACTTAAAAATTCAAAAATACATTTTGAATTTTATGCTATAAGTTTATACTCGTTTTCAAAAGTATATTTTCGGAAGTACCAGATCAATCATATTTTCAATGTTTTGCAAAATTAAAAATTGAAAATAGCAAACCAAACGCAACTTAAGTATTTGTGCACTTTCCTATAATGTAGCATTGGTCTTGCCACTCGTCTTCTTCATTTTAACAATACGAATAAAGCCCATTTTTTATATAGATTTTCTAAAATTTATTTTTTCTCAAACTAATTTTTAACCACACATTCTTTCAATAAAATAATTTTGTACGTAAATACCTAATTTTTCTTACTTTTAAATTACACATTCTCTAAAAAATTAACTTTCATAGAATCTGTTGATCACGTTTTCCGTAAGGGTAATGTGGACAACACATACCAGGTCTACTCATGTCCAAGTGAGCAAATTCCAACACGTTTTAACTAGAGATTGAATTAGAGGAAGTAAACATGCGTGAACTTGGGAGATGCTCAAAGATGTGAGACAAAAATGTTCAGACATCGACCGTGAGCTTATGGGTGATTGCATATTAAAGATTAATCACGAACAACTCCATATCATCTAGACTTGAGCAAGCAGGAATGTAAGCAAGAGAAAACAACTCTACTTTAAGTGTAAAGAGTTGCTTTAGATTCAAAGAGTTACAATGGCTAAAATTTATAGTGGTACATCATTGATCTCGATCGTTATATGAAGCAAACATAACTACATCTGACCAACTGGGACGTCCTATCATAACTATCCCATCCCCCACTTGCTATATGGTGCAATTGAGTGTGTGAGGAAAGAGGAGCAACCCTTTGGAGTGTGTCAGTGTACATAATTAATTAGGCTGATAGTTTTGACTTAATTGAGCAGCAAGTGGTCACGTCAATCATATGCCAAATAATATTTTCTACTTGGGAATCGTTTTGCCCTTTAGAAGTTGGGATTTTAGGATAGAGGGCTTTGGCTGTAAAGGACTTCGACAATCTAGTAAGCTCCAACCGTTTGACTTTGGTCAACCTTTGACTTTTTCATGCCTCCACGTAGTTGTCACATATACTTGAAATAAAGCCTCAGTGGCGAGGCGTAAAATAGTCCCCTAAATCCAAGTATGGATATTTATATAATGTGTAGACTTTGTTTGAAACTTTTATTTGATTGGGATGACCCTTTTCCTGCAATGGTTGGTTCCTCTTGTTGGGCTCCCATCTTCAATGGAGTCTCCAAGGTAGGAGTCTTTAAAGAAGGGGAGGTGTCGAGCGACACCTCTACTACTTCAGATGTTGTACTTCTCCAGACAAAGCTCTAATTGTCGAAGAGGAATGATGAATTAGCTCCAAAGGCTCTATCCATGCTTCCTCTAGAGGTCCAAATGGCTATCGCCACGTTCCATAAGCATTGGATGCATAGATGGAGGACCTTCGTCGATTCTACTGATTCGGCTGACATTTTTGCTACAATGGTGAGCCAAACATGGTGGGCATTTGGGATCGAGGCCGAAGTACTCTATAAAAACATTCAATAGAAAAAATAGGGAGTTTTCTAATAAGACCTCCTAGGTCAAGGAAGGGGCCAAGAAGCTAGGGCCGATGCTGAGGTCTTAAAAAAATAGCAAGCTGAAGAGTCCGTGATGCTCGTTGTTGACCCCGGAAATTAGTCCTCCCACGTGGCCAACTGAAAGCTACTCCACGTATTCCTCCCTGCACACAATCAGCGAATAGTCAGGCGCACACGGCCGGAACCAATGGGGGTGGTGGCGGCCGTATACACTCCGACGGTCAAGTCGGGTTTGGATGATCGGAACAATACCCAGGGGCTATGCAAATCAATAATAAAGGGGGAGGAGAAAATATATAAACTTGCTATGGAGTGCTATGTATTAAGAGTTTCATTACCTTTGCCTCTTGCCAAACCTTGGGTATTTATAGGTGGTATGAACCGTTGGATATGGAACGCGTGTATACATCTGATGGTATGAAGCGTCTGCTCATATGCGTCAATCAGCCGCATTTGTAGAGTGGGCGGACAGTTTGTTTCCTCTGAGTTGAATTGACATAAAGTTGATAAGTCACATCAACTA